CTAAATAAATGTCATGTTATGTCATGTCATCCAACCTCTGATCTGATTCAGCCACCCAGTCTGAAAACTTCCCATCAAGTGGAGTCTATCATGACTCTAGGCTGGCTATTCCTCTATTGCCCCCAACCTCTCATGCAGAGCTTGAGCCTCCCTGACTTCACCCTAGATGTCCAGGAGACTGGACCCTCGTTCCATTATCCTTCTTGGCAAGTCAAAGAGCTCCCCGTTTGCCTAGGCAGGCCTCTGCTTTCCCCATTTTTCTTCTCCTGGAGATTATGTTTTCAGCATCTCCTTTTCAGGTTCTTCCTCCCCTTTTGGTTCTGAACATCCTTTAGAAGTTCCATCCCAAAGTCCATGGCACACAATTGATTGTCTCAGCTTTTCCTCATCAAGTTCTTTTTTTTACTCCAACATGGGCAGATTTTGTTCACCAAGATCCCTGACTCTTCCAATTCATCGGCCAGTTCCTCTCTCCTAGGCAGCATTTGGTGCCAGAGAGCTGGATCCCTTGTTCCTTCTACTTTCTGAGAAAATTCTCACCATCAAGAGAGGCCAGAAGCCTCTTGGACTTCTCTTTCCTAGCAGTGGGTTGGCCAAGACTCTTGATCTCCAAAGGAATTCCAAAGTTGATTTAGAAAGAGATCTTCTGATCCACTTCTGCTTCAGCAGGTGACCTGCACCAAATTCCCACAATAAAATCCTTTTTATGTGATGTGATGATGTGATGATCACTGTCCAAAACAGATGGATGCCCACTCGAGGAAGAGGCATTTAATGAAACAAACATGAAAGAAGGTAGAATTCATCTACCAAAACCAAACATTGTTCTTTTAATTATGTTAATCATTTCAGCAGGTATTTTGAGATTTAACAATCAATGAAGGTGGTAGAATTTCTTTCTTTTATAACTGCAATTTGATTAAGCGCACAAGTATATGTACAAATTGATCATTCAAATATCCTGAACATTGCTGGAAAAGTGAGATTAATGAAACTGAAAACTCCTATGCAGCTTTCATGAAAATTAGCAGAAATTAGAACTGGCAAGGCCTAAGCAGGATTGAGGTACATTGAAAAAGGAAGTAGATGTCTCTTTCATCCTACAAATTAATGAGTTATAGCAGGGATTAAAAGGTCGTGAACATTTTCAATATTCCTGCGCAAACCTTGCCTAAATCATAATCTGTTCTTCACACAATGCCTCAAACTAGAGAAAGAGAAGCCAATTAAAGAAATTAGTCAGAACCAGTACACTCCTTCATTTATTTATTCAGAAAAATGATCCAAAGCTACATATTTGTGTGTAGTGAAACTATGTAAATCTCTAGAATGACCAGTTCATTCGAAGGGGAAGTTAGAGTCAGGAGGCTGTGCTGGAAGAAGGAGTTCCAGAATTCCTCTGTTGATGGGAGGGACTGATCAGCAGTTAGCAGAAACATTCAGCTGCAGGTATTGCTGCCTAAGTGTGTATGTGTGTGGGGGCAGACTAGATACTGAAAGCAAAGGTAGACATATTTTTGCCACACATAAATACACCACTTTGGATCATTTTCCTCGATCAATGTTTTTGACTCATTTGCTTAATTTGACTTTATCTAGTTTTGGTACTGGCTTGGAGATCAAATAACATTTAGGTCACATTTATGCAGAAATACTCGAGCCAGACATCCTAGAATGTGAAGTGAAATGGGCCTTAGGAAAGCTGAGCAACAACAAAGCTAGTGGAGATGACAGTATTCCAGCTGAGCTATTCAAAATCTTAAAAGACGCTGCAGTAAAAGTGCTACACTCAATTTGCCAGCAAATTTGGAAAACTCAACAGTGGCCACAGGATTGGAAAAGGTCAGTTTACCTTCCAATTCCAAAGAAAGGCAATGCCAAAGAATGTTCAAACTATCATACCATTGCACTAATTTCACAAGCAAGTAAAATTATGCTTAAAATCCTACAAGCTAGACTCCAGCAGTATGTGGATCGAGAACTTCCAGAAGTACAGGCAGGATTTCGAAGAGGCAGAAGAACTAGAGATCAAATTGCCAACATACACTGGATCATGGAGAAAGCTAGGGAGTTCCAGAAAAACATCTACTTCTGCTTCAACAAATTGTGGCAAGTTCTTAAAGAGATGGGAGTACCAGACCATCTTATTTGTCTCTTGAGAAACCTATATGCGGGTCAAGAAGCAACAGTGAGAACTGGACACGAAACCACTGATTGGTTCAAAATTGGGAAAGGAGTCCAGCAAGGCTGTATTCTGTCGCTCTGCCTATTTAACTTATATGCAGAGCACATCATGAGAAAGGCAGGGCTAGATGAATCTAAAGTTGGAATTAAGATTGCCGGGAGAAATATCAACAACTTAAGATATGCAGATGATGCCACTCTAATGGCAGAAAGTGAAGAGGAACTAAAGAGCCTCTTGATGCGGGTGAAGAAGGAGAGTGCAAAAGTTGGCTTGAAACTCAACATTAAGAAAATCGAGATCATGGCATCCTGCCCTCTCAATTCCTGGCAAATAGATGGGGAAGAAATGGAGGTATTGACAGATTTTATCTTCCTGGGCTCTAAGACCACCACAGATGGGGACTGCAGCCAAGAAATTAAAAGACGCTTGCTCCTGGGGAGGAAAGTTATGGCAAATCTGGACAGCATACTAAAAAGCAGAGACATCACCCTGCCAACAAAAGTACATATAGTCAAGGCCATGGTTTTCCCAGTTGCAATGTATGGCTGTGAAAGTTGGACCATAAGAAAGGCTGAATGCAAAACTATGGTGCTGGAGAAGACTCCTGCGAGTCCCCTGGACTGCAAGGCGATCAAACCGGTCAGTCCTAGAGGAGATCAACCCTGACTGCTCTTTAGAAGGCCAGATCCTGAAGCTGAAACTCAAGTACTTTGGCCACCTAATGAGAAGGAAGGACTCACTGGAGAAGAGCCTGATGCTGGGAAAGATGGAGGGCAACAGAAGAAGGGGACGACAGAGAATGAGGTGGCTGGATGGAGTCACTGAAGCAGTAGGCGTGCACTTAAATGGACTCCAGAAGATGGTAGAGGACAGGATGGCCTGGAGAAACGTTGTCCATGGGATTGCGATGGATCGGACACAACTTCGCAACTAAAACAACTGAAAATTCAAAAGGTTCACAAACTTTAAGCACCCCTGTATTTGTGGAATTTCGATCTTCAGCTTCCTAGTGATGTCTTATTGGTGCCTTTTTGTCTTGCATTTTGTCATGAATCCAGAGCAATATAAAGAGGCATCTGGAGGCCCAGGTGTTCCCAGGGAGGAAATCCATTCTGTGACAAAGCGATGATTAAGGGGAAGGACGCTTGTGGTAATGCAATCTTTTGCGGGGGGGGGGATTTTGAGGGCATTACACAATGCTTGCGAAGGAGAGTTGGCTAATCACAAAAATGTGTCATCCCCAATTGTCCCTTTATCTGAAATTATCTCTGCCTCCTCCCCTAAGGTCTGCTCCCCAGGATGCTTTTTCTTTTGTCTTTCCCAGGCATTGGCACACCCTCTTTTCCCTGGGAATACCTGGGAGAATAAAGCTATGGCTTACTGGCTAATAGTGTACTTTCACAGCAGACCAGGTTTCCATTTAATTTGTTTAATATAGGATGTCAAAATACTGAACCCAGGTGGGTCAGGGAGTTTGAAGTGAGAAGGCCTGTGGGGTCCCCATTACCTGCCCCGAGGGCCTTGTGTTCAAGACAACTCAGAGCAAGAGTCACAGGTGATGTGAGGGGTTTTGTGAGATCTCTGGGCCCTTGGAGCTTCCTGGGACAGGGTCACCTTGTGTACTTTATGCAACACAAACTGTTTCAGGTGCATCATTTGAGCCTTTTGGACAAAGATGGGAATGGAACTATCAGCTGCACCTATTAAATTTTGTTTTGCTTGCAGGCAGTGCCTAAAGAAAAAATCACTTGGAAAGAATCAGAAGGCTAAGCTCTCATAGAGCTGTCTGGAATGGATCTTCTCAAGGAGCATCTTGTCCTGTAAGGCCCTTCAATGTTTTGAAAAACTGGATTCTTTCATTTGTTCCACAGAATGGGTGACATGGGATTTTTCTTCTGCTTTTCTGATGGATCCCTTCTGCATGGGCTGCCTCTTGAACTGGCTTCTTGCCCATTATTTTGACAGCAGATAATGGAAGAGAACGTCAAAGTTTAATTTTGAAGAATATGCACAATAATGGAAGAAGGAACTCCGTGTAATATTTGAACAGAAACCTATTTTGTGTAACAAACTGAAGCTGAGTACAAATCAAGCAATCAAATCAAAATAAGCCTCAGATAACACCTGAGCAAGAAATACCGTGCAGCCAAGAAGCCAGTAAAGCTGGACCTTCTCTGGCCAGAGAGAGGGAGCCAAACTAAAGGAAGTACTGCAAAAAGACGCAGATGCATCTTTGCATCGCAACGTGGATTTCTGACACAATCCCAGCAAAGGTCTAAGGCCAAAGGGAGACCTGCATTGCTGCTTTCAGGGTGACAATATTTTTCGGCTCAAGGACGCATTTTGTTTTTTGAGAGCCTTTTCATTTTTTTCAAAATACCAACAGGACCTATATGGAGTCAAGAGATATAAATAGGCAATAGATCTCTTAGTATTTCTTTGCATTTAAAAATGTTAAAGAGTAATGTGAGCAGGAGCCTGATGGATACCAAGGAATGTATCCATGCCATGTACCCTCAGTTAAGTTTCCTTGAGATAAATCCAACCCCCTTCCATGCAGTTTTTGTGGCAATAATAGAGCAGGGGGCTGGACTAGAAGATCTCCAACCTCCCTTCAAACCCTATTATTTTATGTTAGCCACCACCTTCTTCCAAGAAGTTTTTTCACTTCCAGCCTAGCCTTCAGCTCTAAGATTGCCAGGAAGTCTCCCTGACTTCCACTGAGTGCCGCCATCACCTGAGACACTCCCTGTTTAACATCTTCAGATCCTGACAGGGCTGAATGGAGCTGGGAGTACACAAAAATGCTTCTTACCTGGCAAGGCTTTTGCCCATTTCACCACATGTACCAGGTGCCTCTCTCCAAGCTCATTCAAACTGGTGAGAAGGGAGCCAAAGGAGTCAGGCTGATTATTGTCATGCCCTGAACAAACCACGCCAGGCTCAATGGCTTCCAGGACATTGAGGAAGATAGGCTGGCATTCCAGGCTATCGATGTGCGTGATGGGCATTTTCGTGGCTTGCTCCTCAGTGGGGCTCGATGGCCCTGCTGTTTCCCCTTCTTCTTGCATCTTCAGGTTACCCAATTTCTTTAACTTGCGGGCTGAAAGGAAAAAAGGGTTCTAAGAAAACTTTCCATCACAGGTTGACAGTTTATAGGATGAGTGGACATATCATCAAAGGAGGAAAGGTTTATGGAAGCTTCTTTCACAATACTAAACCTGATGAACCTGCTGCTCTTGGGCACTGCTGCTGCTGCTACTCTGGGGGGAGACACCAGAATGCCCTGGGGGCCCTCTGAGTTCCTCTGCCCAGCCTAGGCTGAGAGGTGGGCAGGACAGAATTTTAATGCAGCTCCCACTCACCCAGGCAGTTGTGTAAATACAATACGAAGAAAATGATTACAAATAACTTTATAAATTCTCACTATCTCAACCAGACTTTGCATGACAACCCTGAGAGTCCAGTCTTCTCCCCCAAGGTTCCACAGCGGAATACCGTGCAGGCTTGCACAAATTTGTAAGGAATATTTTTAGCGTTTGCAAAAATTAATGTGTTAGGATTTGAGCAAACCATTTGGGAGTGATAGACATCACGGGGGTTGTGGTTGCCCCTAAAATGAGTGCTCCTCCTCCTGCTGTTGTGTTTGTCGCACTTGGTATGACAAGATGGAATTGTGTTCCTCTGAATGCCTCTCGATATTCAGAACTGATGTTCACCATTAGAATTATATGGAATTTTCCCCAATGCCCAGAGCAGCAGTATAGCCCTGGATCTCCTGCTGCAGGAACATAACAGAGATTTTTCCATCATTATGCTTTTATATTTCTGAACAACTAGATTTCTGACAACCATTCTTGCAAGCAAAAGAGCATGTTTTATATATTTTCGATCTGATCCTACAAGACTAGTTATACTCTACAAAGTAAAGGGTATCCATCCTTTTAATATGGCAGGGGTCACTATGCTCAAGGGCAAAATGGCGTACAAAGGATTAAACTTTGATGACCTACCCAGCCCCAAAATCTTGTAAGATCTCTTAGGATAATTCTCATTAATTCTGGCAGGCTATGTCATTTTTAAAAATTAAATGATGTATTTTTAAAATGTTAATTTGGAGGCTCCATGGAAGCCACTTGCAGGCTGTGAATTCTATTGCTGCTCCCCGTCACAATGGAAATCACAAAGGCTGGGTAAAAAGAGAGGGCGAGCTATTGCAGCAGCAGAGGTGGGGGCGTTGTTCCCCTTCTCCACCCCACCTTCTCCATCCCTACTCAGTATAGACCAGCTCTATGTTTCATACTATAGTTTATACTAAAGCCTCGTAATATTTCCTAATATTCAAATGGGATTGGCTTTTAGGTAACTAACATCCATTATTCCTGCCTTTGAGTGTGACAATCTGCGCTTTTCAAAACTAAACACTCTTTCTTTTAATTTCTCTTTGGAGGTTGACTTTCTGGTTGGTGCTCTGATAACCTTTGCTCCCTTCTCTAAACTGTCTGAATTGTTCCAGTTTTTACTGGTCATGTTGCTTTTGGAATTGTGCAATTTATTAATTTTTTCCTAATATTCAAATGAGGTTGCCTTAAAAAAAAAAACCCGAACAAACAAACTGTATCTCCCTAGACAGCCGGGATGCTCTATTGACTTCATGGTTGTCTTCTATTTTGTCGTTTCGCTGAATTGCTTGCCTTTATGTGTTTCTCTTAGGATGCTGACTGGCTGTGGGACCCAAATGGTGACTGCAGAACTGGCTGTGGGTCGGACCAGGCTCCACTATTTCACAGAAGTGCTGCATTTCAGGGGTTCTGAAAGGCCTCTCAAATTCTTGACTGCTTGAATCAGAGGTGGGGAACAATGGCCCCTTTATGACTCGTGGACTTCAACTCCCAGAATTCTTGAGCCAGCATAGCTGGTTCAGAAATTCTGGGAGTTGAAGTCCACAAGTCATTGAAGGGCCATCGTTACCCACCCCTGCCCTGAATGATAAATGAATTTGTCCCACGCATGAATAATGCTAATGATTTTACGGGCTAGTGGCACGTAATAAAAACACTTTTCATCAGAAAATATGTCAAACAAACAAACCTAGTGACAGAACCTTGTAATTTTTTTAAAATAAAGATTTTCCACTAGCAATTAACATTTAAATAATGTTATTTTAATGGGAAGAATGAGCTTGCCTAGTTTTGCACAAGTCCTGAAACTTAGGTTCTATTGTTGAGAGACCCGCTCGCAGTTCTCATTCCACATTTGTTTTCCCTCTTCATAACAGAAACAATGGGAAACCTCAACTTGGGTCAGGCCAAGGAGCGAACACAGACCGCGATCCAGCTTTGCAGGTGCAACCTCAGCTGGTCAAGACTTGTTCTGGGTTCTGCTTAGACAAGAGGACTGTTGGCTTGTCCAGGTGACCCAGGAGAAGGGGCAGCAATCACAATTTTAAAGACCCTGCCCTACAGAATTAAGAAAAAGAAAGACGTTTTTCTACAGTATGTCCTTGTATTAATGAGGCTGGTTAAATCCAGCTAGAAATGGTGGCTCTATAGACCAGAGGAAGCCAGCTGGATCAGCCCTGCCCCTTGTCTGAGCTGAGCCACTGAACAGCTTGCCGAGTCCTGAATGTTCCGCTGAAGAGCTGCACTGCCAGGGAGATTTAAGCCGATCCAGGCAACCTTCAGACTTGCATCACGTTACATAGATAAGAATAAAACCCTAGGAAGTCTGTGATTATGACTTCTCTAATTCTCTGAAATGGACTGTTTCTAGCCTTTATTTATTTATTTCCCCCCCTGGATGTTTGCTTTAATAATTGGCTTGCTCACAGCCATAAAATCTCCAGAGCCAGATTTTGTTATTCTAGACAATAAAATGCTTTTATATCTCCCTGAAACTCCATCACCTTTTTCTCAAAAGCCAGCTTGGAAGAAAATAAAATAATTAATTAGAAATAATGGGGAAGAGAGAGGAAAAATCCTGATTGCTTCACTTCAGCAAGAGAAGCATAAAATAGTATCTGTTGTCCTGGAGGATCTGTCTCCCTACATTAAATGATACTTATCTGAAACTTCGTTTGGCCATAATATAAAAAATAAGCCTCCAAACATAAAAATGTCAAATCAAAGAGCATCTCAATAAATCAATTCAAAGGCTGATCTTTAATTATATGCTTTGGATGATCTACAGTAAAAGCAATTAAGGGAGGTTGCTCTGTAAAAATGGGAACATGGCAATAAAAAATAAAAGTGAGTAACCTTTGAAAAACAAGAGCAAAGTGCAGCATGACATCCGTGCCATTATTTATGCAGGTTGGGATGGTGACAAGGAGAATTGCTGAACATGATCTGACTGTGTCTCGCAACGTTCTGATAAGCTTTCCCAAGAACATCGCTGCGCTCCTCTCTTAACCTTGAGGCAGTTTTGCTTCAAGCTCCACAGTCAGCATAACACGGCCTATCTGTGTTCACAAGACACAACAGTCCTTCTGTTTTGACTACATGCATGGTCGCCAAAGGGAGCCAAAGAAGATGCTGCACATCTGGAAAGATCTAACCTTCCAGAGTTGCCTGCATGGCCATTTCTGAGAGAAGCTGTGACTTCAGTCTATGTTCAGAAGTCAAGATACAAAATTTAGACATTAGAGCAGCTCTGCCCAACTTCTCATGATCTCTATGGTTCGCAACTGCAACTTCAAGGCTTCCCAGCTAATGGGACTACAGCAAATACTGGGAGGTATTCAGTTAGTAATGATTGTGCCCTGGATAAACCTCAGTGGCCACAATGCTGCCACTGAGCAAAGCATTTATTTAATGTTTTTACTTGTAGTTTGTGGAGATTCCCCATCATCCAGGCCATGGTTGTCCCAAAGGTGCTTTTCAAAAGGCAACTGGACTTTGTTTTTGCTTGAAGATGTTTTGCTTCTCATCTAAGAAGCTTCTTCAGTTCTGCGAATCTCCATAGACACCTCCAGTGATGGAGCACCCACAATGTCTGGAGGCAGCCACTCCACTGATTAATTGTTCTGACTGCCAGGAAATATCTCTTTAATTTTAGGTTGGATCTCTCCTTGATAAGTTTCCATCCATTGCTTCTTGGCCTGCCTTCAGGTGCTTTGGAGAATAGCTTGACCACCTCTTCTCTGTGACAGCTCCTCAAGTATTATTGAAAGAATGTCACTATCATGTTACTCCTACTCCTTCTCTTTGTTAAACTAGACATAACTAATTCCTTGAACCGTTCATCATACTATTAATCTCCAGACTCCTAATCATCTTTGTTGTTCTTCTCTGCACTCTTTCTAGAGTCTCAACATCATTTTTGTATCATGGTGACTAGAAATAGATGCAGTATTCCAAGGGTGGTCTTACCAGCACAGCAGAAAGTGGTACTAACACTTCATGTGATTTGAGGATATCCCTCTGTTGATACAGCTCAGGAAGGCATTAGCTTTTTTGGCAGCTGCAGCACACTGTTGTGGCAGTGTGTCTCAACCTCAGCAATTTTAAGATGTGTGGTCTGCAAGCATGCTGGCAAAGGAATTCTGGGAGCTGAAGTCCACATATCTTAAAGTTGCTGAGATTTTGAAAAAGTCCTGCTCTACAAGTAGTGAATGCCCCATTAGGAAACTTAGAGAGCAGCCTTGCAAGTCCAGTTTGTTTCCTCTAATGCACAAGAGGTCAGTTAGTGGAACCCTAGAGAAAACATTCCAGAGTTTGGACAAACAGATTGCTATGTCCAGTCTAGCCCTCTCCCCCTCCCGTCAGCCCAGCTGCTCCAAAATAACAGATTCTGCTTTTTTTGGAACAAATCCTGGTTTCCTGCTGATAATGATTGTAGCTTTGATTATGGATGGGAAAAGACAAGATTCCCTGTTTCCTCAAGAGGAGAAGGTTATTAAACTTAAGCTGATGGATCAGCTCAACCACACAACACAAATAGGAGTGGGTGGGTGGGGGCATGTGTGCAAATGGGAGGGAGGGAGAGATAGAGAGAGAAAATATGATGTATTAGGTATTGAATGTTTGGGTTATCATTAGAAACATTGGTAGGGGGAAGCAACCACTGGCACCAGTCACATCCCCCCCCCAATCTGCCCGTGGA